GCAGTACCGCCGTTTGGACACAACGAATATTTTCCACAGAGTCCGGCGCACTTCCTGGGGGCTTCCTGGGGGCTTTCCAGGGAAATTACGTATACTAAAAACAGACTTAGTAAAATTGACGATGCAATGCACAAAGGAAATGAAGGCGAAAATCAGAGCTACAGGAAATTAAAACTGTGGATGGAGGTGCAACAGCCTGAGTAAAACCTGTGAAACATAAGAAAACTTCAAAAAGCATTTTGCAGTGGAGTTCCTCTTTACTAAAATGTAAAGTTCCTTAGTTCCTCTTTACTAAAATGTACTTTACTCAATGGCCACTTTATTAGGTACACATGTACATTTTATACAAACCAATACTCAGCACCCAGACTTTGCAAAGACAATTATTAATTTAAATGACACTTTCATATTACCTATTTAAACGTATAAACACATCATGGAAGTCTGCATTATTCTATTAAAGGGGTTTTTTAAATAGGGTTAAAAGAGTGAAAACATATACATTGAAATTATATTAATGTAGTGTTTGTTTTTGTTTTTTTAAATGGAGACCATTTGTTCAGGTGCATGTATAATTCAACAAGCAATTTGTTGTGTGAGCAGTATACTGAGGCGGCAGAAAGGCATAACTGAGTAACGACAATAACTTTAGTTAACTGTAATTTTAGTACAGCAAATTGTAACAACTTTTTTTGCATTTTGTGCAGCGTTTGCAGAAGTGTTGAACTGGACTGCACTGTATTAGAATGTAGTGTTTTAAAATCCTTTACAAACATGAGGGGGCAAGAATGTTAGAAACACATTTAGTATCTGACAATGTAAACAAAAACATACTTTCTAGAATATTTTGTGGATCTTAGGGGTGTAACGGTATACGTATTCGTACCGAGAATATTCGGTATGGGCCCTTCGGTTCGGTACGCGTGTGTACCGAACGAATATAACGTTAAACGTAAACAATTGAGAACGTGAACAACTTTTTGGAAGTAATCTCAGGTGCTGCGTCGCAGCGTTCAGTGTAATTTGCTCCTATTGGGTTCAACGCGTCATAGAGCGACCAAGTCATTTAATTGGACGAGAGGCATACTATGAGAGCTGTTCACAGGGATGCGTTCAAATTTAGTCAGTAATTTGAGGAACTGGCGAAATGGCGAACGCAGATAAAGTTGAGCTCGAAAATCCTCCAGCATCATTGAAGTTTCCAGTTTGGGAACATTTTGGTTTCGCAGTTACGTACAAGGATGACGGACAAAGACAGGTGGACCGAACCAAAGCTTTTTGTCTGCATTGTTCAACTAAAATTGGTTACGCGGCTGACAATACATCAAACTTGCACACTCATTTGAAAAGGCATCACCCGAACGTGAATATCACCTGTACCAAAAGAAAGATTACTGAAGTGCAAACCCAACTCCCACTAGCATAGTAGCATTTAAGCCTCCACCACTCACAAAAAGGTCAGACCGAGCCAAAGCTATTACAAACGCCAAATATCTTTATGTTGCCATGTTAGCAAAGCTACCTGTCTGTATCTGCTACCTCTGTCCCTAGTGAGAGGGTGTTCTCCACAGCAGGAGACATTGTTAGTGCCAGCTATGCCCTTTCGGCAATCAATGTGGACAAGTTCATTTTTCTTAAAGAAAACATGAAAATACAATGACAAGCAAGCAAGTCCTAACGTCAAGCTGGCTGCTTAGGTGAGTACTAGTACAGTAGTTCAAGTACAGATTATTTCAGTTCATCGAAATGCTGCACCTTAATGTTTATTTTATTATATTTTGTATTTATTTGAGTGAATATTCACAGTTTAATAATAATTAAAAACCCAAAACAAATATTTTATGTTTTGTGAGTACTAGTACAGTAAAGTTCAAATACAAATTATTTCAGTTCATCGAAATGCTGCACCTTAATGTCTATTTTATTATATTTTGTATTTATTTGAGTGAATATTCAGTTTAATAATTAAAAACCCAAAAGGAATATTTTATGTTTTGTGAGTACTAGTACAGTAAAGTTCAAATACAGATTATTTCAGTTCATCGAAATGCTGCACCTTAATGTTTATTTTATTATATTTTGTATTTATTTGAGTGAATACATTATTCAGTTTAATAATAATTAAAAAACCCTAACAAATATTTTATGTTTTGTGATCATTGTTTCTGCTGTACCGAAAACGTACCGAACCGTGACCTAAAAACCGAGTACGTACCGAACCGAAATGTTTTGTGAACCGTTGCACCCCTAGTGGATCTGTTTTAATGGAGTGAATTAACATTGTATAATGGAAATAATAAAGTGATTTATGTTCATGTGCAATGCCAGCTGTAACATTAAAGGTGGGGTAGGTAAGTTTGAGAAACCGGCTCGAGATCGCTAGAATTTGAAAATACACAACCGGAGAAAATCTGCCACTTCCTTACAGAGCCCCTCCTCCAACACACACGAGCGCGCACATGACCAATGAGGGCACGAGATAAGTTTGTGCACAGATGGAAGGCTGACAGGCAGGTAGGCCATCCAGTTATTTTAGCCGGGCCGGCTAAAATGATTGGTCGTACTTTTTACAGTACTACGGCTTCCACAGATGAAATTCTTTTATGGATTTTTTGTCAAAGCACTTAAGATATTCATTGCTATCGGGATGTTAAGAGCATTCCATGGAATATAACAAAAAGTGTATCTCGAGCCGGTTTCTCAAACTTACCTACCCCACCTTTAAGTAGGTCAAGTTAAGGTTACAAGGAGCAAAGCTCACAGACACAGAAGGCAGCTCAGGGGTTGAATCGGTGAAATGGAATCACTCATTACAGAGCCGGCAGTATGCAGACATCTTGCATTGATGTGCTTGTGTTTCTGTATTTCTAAAACATGAGCAAAAGTTTTGAAAAACAATGCGTCACTTGTTTGCTAAAATGGACAAACGCCATTAGTGGAACAACTTGTGGCTTGTGTATGAGTTGCGTATTTGTGCTAATCATTTTCAGCAGTTGTTTTGCGGGTTAATTGCAAGCCGGCTTTTAGTAACTTTTTATATTTTATGTTTCATGCAAGTTTAGGAATGAATTTCAATGTTTATACGAAAGTATCACTTTTTAGACCTAACTGACAGTGGGTGGCCGAGTTGCAATAATGTGCTTGTGTTTGTATTTTCGAACAAAACAAGATAAAGTAATTTATTTTAAACAAGCCTGAAAGTCCCTTTCATGTATAAATGTGGAACGCATTGCTCATCTGTCCTAATTTCATTATTCATTTAATTAAATAGATTGAAATATATAAATATTTCAACATTTGTTTGGCAAAATATGGCAAATCATGTTTGCTCTAGCTTACAACAGGTGTGTATTTGAAAGTTTCGCTGTAAGATGTTATAGTCACACTGTCTCCTCAATTAAGAAGATTACGTTTTTGTAAAATGACAGAAAGGGGTCATCTGCACCCTATAATTATCACAAAAGGCTTTCAGAAATGCAAAGAAACACTGTGTTCAAAACTGGGTGTCTAAATACAAACAAAGATGACTAAGTGTTACAAATATAAACACATGTATTGTTACAAAAATTAATGATCAGTGGAGTAAAGGCGCCATGCCAACACTTGCTGGTATTTTAACTTGCTGTTGTTTGATCTACAAACAGCTGCTGAAAACATCTGGCATCATGTATTTATTCTGCATCAGCATGAATATAAACTGCAGATGATTATTTTCAGTATTATTTTTAAAATATGTATTAAAATAAAATAAAAAGTGTGCTTTGGGGCTGCATGATTTTGCAAAAATATTATAGTAATTATTTTGACGAGATTACAATTGGGATGGGATTCCTCATATGAGGTCGACCATTTTTGAAAAACCATTAAATTTAAAATTGATAAAGGAGGATCCATAATGAACAAAGACATGTTCTTCAGTCTGTAGAAAATGATGTCTAGGTTGGCAAATCTCTGCACAAAATCTTTAACTCAAAAAAGGTATTTTAACACATATTTTGCATTTAACAAATAAATGTGCAACCCTGGACTTATACAATCTAATAAAACGTCACTACTCCTATTTGAGCCGTTTTAACATTCTTGCAAACGGGGGAAAAGTTGTTATTCCCTTCACTCAAGGACTCAAGGAGTCCTAGTGCAGCAGCAGTTCTGCAAACAAGACACTAAAAACGTTTTCCTTATCACAAATAAGGAGAAAGTAGTAACTATGTCACATTCAGATTAGTGTGTTCAGATGGCCTGAGACACGTCTTAATTCTGGGGGAGGAGACCGACACAGGTACCACATGCAACAACAAAAACAATGTAACTCTTTCCCATATGCATGAACATTAAATCACACCACAAAGATTGGGGTCAGGTTATGGCCCATTCTTTTGTCTGTTGCCCCCCTGCTGTCCAACCTGGCCAGGTGAAAGTGTGGGACAGATGGAAAAACACCACCACTTCAAGACCCAATGTACTTGAATAACTCAATGTACTTTCACCACCACTTCATGACTCAATGTACTTGTACCACCACTCCAAGACTCCATGTACTTGCATGACTCATTGTATGCACCGCACACACACCTGGCTGCTGCAGCTACACATGTTAAAAGAGGCTAAGTAGCTAACAACCTAGCTTACCTCTTTCAGGTTTTAGCCATAATATCCATGCTAACAGACGCAGGGGCTAACACACAGCTAGCTTGAATGTTGCCAGCCCAGCCAATGAATTGCCACAAGTTGGGAGAGGGCTAGCTAGGAGGAAAATAAAGAAGTTCCCAGGATGAAAAACACAAAACACACACCGACAGGGAAAAGGAGACACAGTGTCCTATTTCATGTTAGCACTCCGCTGCTACCGAGCTAGCTTTCTCCGCTAGCTGTGTAATGTCACTGCATCGCTGTTGTAAATACATTATAACAGCTCCTCTCCTTTACACGTGTGGACAGCCTCTAAAACTCCTTCTCGGGGACATCTCTCCACCGAAAAACCCTCCCGGCGGACAGCTCACCTGCACCGGACACCGGACAGACGCTCTCACCGGCGAGACATCACCCCTGTTAGCCCGAAAAAAACACTGGCGCTTTTTATTTCCAAGGACACAAAATCGCCATGACAGTTTAGAAAAATGCATAAAAAATTAGCAGGCAGGGGAGGGAGGGGAGAGAGAGAGAGAGAGATGGGGAGGTAGAGGGGAGGGGAGGGGAGGCGAGGAAGGAGGAGGAGGAGGGATGAAAAGAGGAGGAGTGCAATATCTATTTAATCCACATAAAGCGGAGTTTATTCAGTCTGGATGCCGGAGTCCTGCACACTTTTTCCAGTCTAGACACCACACACACCTCCACAAAAACATCCAAAAGTTAAGGGGGCTTCTTACCTAAAATGGCCACTGCAGCAGCCAAAACACAAACAGCTTCTCTTATTTTATTTGGTGGAAGTTTAGCGGCGGTGTGGCTGCTGCAGCCAGCCTAACCTGACCATAGTGGAGGCTCAACTTTTCACATTTTTCCATTGGCTGCAGCTAGGCGCAGCTGGCTCCATGCATATTTCCATTGGCCCTGCAGCTGTCAAGCAAGCGAAGCCGGAGCGAGTGTGTCCCGGGTTTGTCTGAGAGCTATCGCGGCAGCCCCAGGCAACACCATTGTGTATTGTGTGTGTTTTTTCTCTCCCTTCCTGGTGATTCGCATTGCGTGTTGTTTATTCTAGGTGGTGGTGTTGTTGTTCTGTTGTTGTCCTTACCGCAGACTCGCATGGAAATCCTTCTCGTTCCGGGGGAAGCTTCCCTCCGCACCGCCTGGCTGGCTCCTGCTGTCATTGAAGGGAAAGAAGGAGAAAAAAAAACAAGAGGGGAGCGTTCAGTTTGAACCCCCCCGATGCAACAAAACGAAGGGGTTTACATTTCTCCTCTGCCGGCTGCATCCACCAATCATGTCGCTTTTTTACTCCTCCATCATTACCGGGTCTGAAGGGCGGAAGAAAAGAAACAAGACATTCCACGTCTTTTGCAGATCGGGTTTCGTTTCCCGGATGTTCCGTTTATTTGGTGGGCTTCAAATGTTTAATGTGGATGCAATGTGCGTTTGTTTTCATTCTGGGCTGTGATGCGCATATGAAGTTGTTGTGGACCTACAACGTGCCTCTTCAAACTTCACCTGAAGTATGTGGGCTTGACCTGCTAGTCACTTTCTCCCTAAAACTGTTAAAGGCACACTAAATAACATCTTCTGAGGCCAAAATAAAAATTAACATGCCTACAGCATCTTCCCCCCATGACCCAAATAAACTCTAGTTGTAATTTCTGTCCACAGAGAGACATTATAGGCGAAGACAACTGGGAAGTTGTGGCCAGGCCATATTTGGTTCAATACATCTTTATATCCGGGGTATTAATGTGTCATAAATCTAAAAGCACATTACTATTTCATTACAGGATTATAATGGCCAAAATAATTCACAATATCTATATGAAGTTGGAAATGAATAAAAGACTATCAGTCAAACTAATTTTAACTTAAATTATCCTATGTTAACATTGTGTAGTAGGTTGGTCTATGATAGTGTATTCTTACCTTTATTCTTGTGTATTTGATAGATATACTCTATATAAAAATCTTTCTTTTGTTGATCTGTATCTATTTACTGTTTGGTTATTTTGCTTTTTATTTTTTAACTCGTGCTTTGCTGCAGTAATAAAACGATGTCCCAAGTTTGGATCAATAAATTAAATATGTCAACTTTGTTTATTGTGTGCTTTGTCTTTTTTTTTTTGGCAATATAATTCCCCTAAAAAGTTTAGGGAGGTGTAGAGAGTCAGCAACCACAACCAAAAAAGTGTAATTTAAGAGGCTCTGGATTATTTATCATAATGTGTATTATTAACATATCGGTACACATCTTTTTCGAATCAGAATCAGGATTCCTTTACATGTTCTACAGCAGGGAAATGTAAAGGGTTGCAGCAAAAGTGACAGTGCAGATAAAAGGCAAAAAAAGGGTAAGCTGACATTTTATATTTAAAGACACGCAAAGTAGTGAACAACATTATAAAAAGGTTAATGTTTACACATCCATGGATAAAAATAATAATAAGTGAACCTATAAAGGTGTTGAGATGGTGTATAATGTATGTATCGTACATAACAGTGATAATTGTAGTTCTGATTGAGTAAAGGAGACATTCAACTTCTACTGTGATAAAAAAATTTAAAGCGGAAATAGTCAATCAATCCCAACTTAAGATAGACTTTACTGAAACTTTCAGCTAAATCACATGATCTTAATAAGTGAACAGACTACTAAATTGTCTTGCATGCTCAGAACTGTAGCTAGTATAACCCTTAGCAATAGCAATAATGAAGTCTCATTCAAGAAAAGCTTAAAAAGAAAACTAACACCCACCGTGTGTGCTGACCTCCAGAGGTGTAACTTGTCACCTTGCTGCAGAGAGCTGTGATGTACAGGTGTTCTCTGAGGCGTGTCACCGTGACATCACTGTGTGTGTTTACAGGTGCAACATACTTATGACCGCACCAAAACACACTTTCTTATTTTCTTTTTTATAGAGATCCTCCCCTTAATTTGATAAGATTTACAAATACCCTTTCAATAATCAGAAGCAGCAATCCTTTAATCAACCCACAGCGGAAATGTTTACAATAATTAGTCCAATGTGGTTTTTTCTGCTTTTTTTAGAAGCAAATCATTTTTAAATAGTCTGAAGATGTCTCCTATTTCACTGCAAAGGCACTTCTCAGTGTGTGTGCACTGTCAGCGTCAGGGTTTCCATATCCTGCTCCTTGGTGAGTTGCATGCTGGATTATGATTGGTTTCCAAAATAGTTTGTGATGTCACAAAATCCTGCTTATTAAACTCCGATTTAGCCTCCAGCAGATGATTGTTAAAACAAACTTTGTACAGATTGCTCTGCAGAGTTAATAAATGAATTGACAAGCCAAAGAGTATAACGGGAGAATATAAACATTTCATATAAAAGTACAAGGTAATGATTCAAACATCAAGAACTTTTAGAAAATCTCCCGAAAGTGCATCAGCTATTGCACATTATCAGAAACATCTCTGTTTGGCAACCTTAAGTTAGGATTGCTTTCTTAAACGTTGAAAATGTATTAAAGGTATGTATGAACAGGCCTTTTTTATTAACATGTGCTTGCTTTTTATTTAACATGTCAGTAAACTATTTTATTTTTGCCTCTTATCGGCACTTAACCTGCTGTTGTAACGCTGTAAATGTCCCGCTGTGGATGAATAAAGGATTTCTAAATTAAAAGTCTATCATTCATAGCCTTAAATATTGATGTATACATAAATAAATACATGTGATTAAAAATCAAATCCACAGACTACAAGAGCAGCCTTGTTCTTCAACAGCAATATAACGTCAATTATACCAAAGTCAGATAAATCTTCCTTCTGGCTTGAAACCAAACAGTTTCTTTTTTCACAAGTGCAAACTCTTCATTAAGAAGAGACGATATATTTTAATCTCTACTTAAAATCATGTTGTCATGTCTGATTGTCTCATTGTGTTCACATGTTGCCCTTGTTTCTCAGGCGCCCCCTCCCCAGCTGTGTCTTGTCCTGTGATGATTACCCTTCTGTGTATTTAGTCTTGTCTTCCCTTTTGCTTCCTGTTCGATCGTGGTCTTTCTCATCCTGTTCCTGTTTGTAAGTTTGTTCCTGTTTCTCGTGCTCCCCGATTTGCTGTTTAAGCTGTTTCTTGTTTTTCTTTGTCATCTGCTTTTTTTATTAAAGCTCGCTTTTTTTTACTAGACCTTTTGTCTTTTTTTTACTGCATTTGGGTCCTATTTTCCCCAATCCTTGCAGTTGAAAGCACTGAGACCCGAACTTATTGGAACACAACTTTAAAGTCATTTTGTAAGTATAGATATTTTTCTTAAATAATATTACCTGCTATGGTCTTAAATATGCCATTAAAAGTAAAAGTTATGCATGGAAAATGTTGCTTTAGATGTACAAAGGTATTATCAGCAAAATGACTTACTGTAGTATCAAAAATAAAAGTACTCAGCATACACAATAGGCGCGTTCACACCAAGTACTTTGCAGTACTTACTAAGTACTGCAAAATACTCCGGTGTGAACGCGATTGGTACTTAGTGCCCTGGGCTAAAAAGTGCCGGGGCACTGAGTGCCGGAACAGTGCCCTGGCACTTTTTAGCCCAGGGCACTAAGTACCAATCGCGTTCACACCGGAGTACTTTTCCCTGAGGGAAGATTACGCAAATGAGCCGCTGACGTCACTTCTTCTTCTTCTGCTTTGGGTTTACTGCCAGGCCACAAACCACTTCACGGCGAGTACAGTAGGTGGCGGTATGCACCTTAAAGTTGTTTGCAATCCGCTACAAAAACAAGAGAAGAAGAAGAAGAAAAACTTCCCGCGTATACTGCGACGCCCACCCACTCGCTGTACATTAGGCGTCTGTTGTTTACCTTCCGACCTCAGACATGATGGAGATGGAGTCGACTGAAGTTGTGCTGTTTGTGCTAATGTTATACAGCTTTGTAACTGAGTTAATGCAGCCTGAGCAACTTGCGTACAATAACAAAACAAGCCGAGCACAAGTGGTGGTGGAGAACGCTTTTGGCAGACTGAAGGGCAGGTGGCGGTGCTTGATGAAAAGAAACGACTGCAAGATGGACAAGATCAAAATCCAGGTGGCAGCATGTTGCATATTACATAACCTTTGTGAAAGTAATGATGATGAGTACAGGGACGAATGGACTGCCTTACCGGCGACCCAGCTTGATGGGCCAGCGCCAGCCATTGCCGAGGCTGGGGGGCAAGACACGCGCACAGCCCTTATGAGGCATCTGAACAGCGTGTAAATTGTACATTGTAAACATTTTGACAATAAAGCTGATCTTTTGTACAGTGCTTTTGTTTCTCTCTTTTATTTTCCAGTCAAGACAGGCAACATTACAATAGTGTACAGTGTGGCAATATAATAACAATAAACTGTGCCAGGTGTGTTGTATGCACAGTAAATATGGCTCAGCAGCAAACCCACCTTTATTATATATATATCTTCCTGAGACCCACTGCATCCGTCTGCCATAAACACTATGGAAACCTACATGTTAGTTTCGGCCCATAGTGGACTCCATTTTGTGTTGTGTAAA